ACAAAGATTTTCATAATTTTATTTGAGTATCAGTGGATTCATCTCTAAGTGTTAAGAGTGCAAGTGATCTTTAAACTTGGGATTACTATAGTATCCAAAGTGTGGATTAATATACTATGACTCTCTTGATTGTTACTTATAAATGAATAGCTCGTATTATTAAAAATTGAGTATATTATAAACTATGGAAAGATAGGTTAAGTTATATGTAAGGATAAATAACCTCTAATAGTAGAGGAATTAGCTCTTTAATGGGCTATACAAACTATTTTACATGAGAGATATGACTTGGAAAGATGAGATCTCTTGCATATGTTCACAGTGGATATGTCCAATATGTTCAAAGTCTATTTTGTTGTCAAATGTACTTTGCTCTCAAAGCACAGTTTTGTAGGATCCACTATAGTGATGCACAAAATGGTCATCAGCTTTTGGAATTTGGCAACAAAAAGTTATGAATATAGTCACCACATTTCATATGAAGACAAATGTGATACCATTACAGACCAGTTATTCTGTTGTGCTGCAAGATTCAATGGTTTTGCCATATATTTGGGTTGCAATTATGGTTAAGTTCTTCTACACAATGGAAAAATATTTTAGAACTATTCCAAATTAGACAACTCTTAATAGCACATTATTCTGTGTTTCCAGCAAGTTCAATTGCAGTTTTTTTCTTGCCATTGATTGGTCTTAGTTGCTGCACAAATAGAAGCAATATTCAATGATATTATCATCGAATTTAGGCCTTCTGATTTTCTTGTCTAGATATACTTTTGTACTAGTTTACAAATTGCTTCTAGTCAAGCAATAGCAGATGAACTGATTCAATGCTACAAATTTCTATCGAAATTTTGATTTTAAAAGTTCTAAATTGTCGTGCATGTGCTCTTTTTGTCAAGTGTTTAGATCAAAGATATAGATGAGGTAGTACTAATGATAGATTATTAGCATTTGACATTCTTGCTAGGTTTCTTTTAGATCTATTCTTGATATGTATGCAAGCCATTTGGACTTCTAGATGTACTCATTATTCTCATGTCGATGAGCATGGTCATCATTCTCAAAAAAGAAAAAACTCTTTAATAGGCTTCTTGTTGAAGTATAACATAAAGAATTTTAGTATTAAGTGGAAAGATCTTTTTATAAATGTGTTTCTAAGTTTCTCTTTATGGGAATTAAATATTCATAATAATGAAATATTATTAATTGTATTAGAGTGAACAGTTATTATTTACTCTAAACTGATATGAGATAAGGTTTGTGAGAGATATTATTTACATAGAAAACGAGCTCAAAAAGTGAAGTAACTTGACTTCTTCCATCATTTGAGTGATCATGACGTAGTGCTAGAAACCAATGTTAATTTCTAATGAGTTGATTGTTTAATTAAATCAATGATAAACTAAAAGTATTTTATCTAGCTTTTTATTGTAATAAAGAGTTATGACTAGCTACTTATTGCGAACATATATCGGAGTCTAATGGGTCACAAGCATTAAGCGGTACATTCATGGGATTAAAAGGAATGCAAATGGAACTTGAATAATAAGTTTGTATTATTTATATTTTAGTTTATAAGATAAGTTAAACTGAAAGGACTTATGTGCGAATATGGAAGTTTTTTAAAACAAGAAATTATTTATAAGATGGAATCCTACTCAAAAATCACTTAGGTGGATCTTATATGAATTGGAATTTCTTATTTCTTATATATACCAGTTTGGTCCAAACTTGCGGACGGACACATGATTAGATGTGACTAAATTTTGTTAGTAATTGGGAAAAAAATTTCAAATGTCATAGATCTGCTTTAAATTAGATACATCGGGAACTAGACTTTCTCTTACTACAACATTAGGGATCGAAATAGATCATGGACTAAACATTGAGGACCAAATTTGCTTTTGTCAAAACTTTAAGGACTAGAACTATATAAGAGCTAAATATTTGGGGATTTAAAACTACATTTTTTTGCTAACAAATATGAACAAATCTAGTTAAAGAAATGGGGCAGGTGCTTGAGAGGATAGAAATTGGGTTCAAGGGGATTTTTCTCCCCTAGACCCATGCCTTGTTTACAAATATGTGTCTCTAAGTGTGCACATGCATTCACACACATACACAAGTGCACGTGCACACAAATTTGTGTGCATGTGTGTAGATACACACACACATACATACATACATACATATATACATAAAGTAATTCTTAATTTTATAAATTCATATATTATGATTTGGACTTATATATATATATTATGATTATACATGCATATATTATGATTTAGAGAAAATAGTGTGATAATTTGTGTGTTAATAGTATGATTTTGTTATGTTAATTCACTTCATTTTCTATCACGTATTGCATTTTGTTTACAAAAAATCAATGGTTATTGGTTTAAATTCTACGTGGTACCAAACATGGACAAATTAATTCTAAAAATAAAGTAATTACTAACTTTGATTTCACGTTGAAATTTTGGCTAAGAATTCAAAAGAATGATCAAGGGCAAATTATCTAATTGGCCCTTTAACTCTTTGTCCAGGTAAAATTAAGCCCCTAATCTATTTTTTGATGATTTTAAGCCCTTGAACTTGTAAAAGTGGGAAATCGTGACCCTTTTATCCAGTTTCTCCGATTTTGCAACCGGAGGACCAATTCACACGAATGCAAGTGTGCTTCTTCAAAGGGAATTTTTATCCGCATATTCTAAACAAAAATAGCACAACTCCTCCACATTCCCTCCATTTTCCTAACCCAACCCAACTGCTAGTTGAAACTTCACAGCAACAGCCTTACCCATTTTCATCTTCTCTTGAGGATCTTTGCGGAGAGAGAAGAGCAAGAGAGTTAATTCCTACTTGTCGGGTTTGGGTATCATCGACATTGAAGCAACAATGGAGGGGTGGCAAATCAGGCCGGAAAATGAATACTTTGATCCTGTCCTCGCTTATGGTATGTATATTCGTTCGAAAACCTTTAAATGTGAAATAGGTAGCATATTTAGTGATCAGATGGGTGAAGAGAGTAAAATTTTGGTGGTGGGGGTTACTGAAAGTGACGTGCCAGTGGTCCTAGATGTGGGGGTATGGTGGTGGACACCTAAGTTTGTTGTTTAGTTGTTCAAAAAGTGTAGGAATTTACGAATAATTAGCATTTCATTAAAAGTTGGAACTTTTTTATTGTTTAACTTCGATTTAAGCATTACATTAGGGTTACTTTTTTAAAAAGCATGTGAAAAAGAGATTGAAATTTTAATTAATTATATTTGAATTTGAATAGTATATTTATCTGCATTTGTTGTAGCCCAACTTGTATTGAAACAATATATTCATATTGATATGCAGATCCAGAATGTGAAATATTTAGCATAAGATTACACCATGGGGGAAGAATAAATTGGGGAAATTATGTCAGTTATGAGAATGGAGAAGTGGCCTACGTAGATATGTGTGATGCTGAACGTATGTCAATCCATGAGTTGAATAAAATGGTTGGAAAAGTTGGTCATCGTAATGCAACCATTTTATACTATTACCTTGAACCAGTTGCAGACATGAGGACTGGTTTGAGAGAATTGTCTACTGATACCCATGTTAGGACATTCTGTGACTGGGCATATAAATTCAAGGTGATGGAAGTGTATTGCCATCATCTGACAGACCCAGAAATTGAAGAACTGAAAAATGCTGTAATAATAGAGTCACCAGACAAGGGGAAAAAGAAAACTGGAGTTGTCATAGAGGAAGTAGATGAGGAAGAATGCATAACTAGATATGTAGGTACTGAGAAGAGTAGTAGAAGGGATTGTATGGTTGGGAATGTAGGGGGTGAAAAAAGAGCAAAAAATAGTCAAAAGGATAGTAATGTTAGGGCAGTAGAAGGTGTAGATACGGTTGAAAAGGTAGGGGGTGAAAAAACAGCAAAAAGCACTCATGCAGCTAGTAATGTTGGGACAGAAGAGGGTGAACATGAAGCTGACTATGGTGGTGGTGAACACGAAGGTGAACATGAAGCAGAGGGTGAACATGAAGCTGACTATGGTGGTGAACAGCAAGGTGAACATGAAGCAGAGGGTGAAAACATAGATGATGAATCTGAATCCCAAGTAGAGGAAGAAAATGATAGATTTAGTGGTGCCAATGACTATGGTGGTGAAGAGATTATGCTGCACATTTTGAATTCGAATGCTGATGGCTGTGGTGAAACTTCACAGCAACAGCAGAGAGATGAAACAATTGACCAGACGCAATGTTCAGAACAGGAGAATGTTTGTGGAAGGCAAACAGAAACTGACCTGGAAAAACAACAGCAAGGTGCGAGAAAGAAACAAGTTAGGAGAAAGAGAACCAGATCAGCAGAACAAACTAGCCAGGGACCAGAGGATATAGATTCACTCCAACAAGATTACATCCCTGATCACCTGAGCAGTGACAATGACTCATCAGATGATGAATTCAAAGGGAGATACAAAGACTTTGTCCTAGAGAAATTCCTCAGGGATCCCAAATTCGAGATTGGGATGAAGTTTGAGTCAAGAGCACAATTCAAATCTGCTGTGACTGAGTATGGGATTAGGAAGGGTAAACCTGTTTGGACCAGTAAAAATGAGCCCACCAGGGTGAGGGCCAAGTGTAGGGAACCATGTAAATGGTTTGTATTTGCTTCAATAGAAAAGGCTCTGGGTACAAAGGATTTGGTAGTAAAGACTCTGCATGATGTCCATGAAACATGCAGCCATGCATGGAAAAATAAGAATATTACAGCCAAGTGGCTGTCTGACAGGTATGTAGAGAGGATAAGATCAAATAACAATCTGCCAACAAGAGAGTTAAGGCAAACAGTCCATGAAGACTACCAGGCAGAAGTATCTAAGCATGTTGCAGCTAAGGCCAAGACACTAGCTATAGAGAAGATCAAGGGGTCAGTTGAGTCACAATACAAGAAAATATGACAATATTGTGAAGAAATTAAAAGGACTCATCCTGGCAGTACAATGGAGGTTATGTTCACTCCATTTAGAGAACCTGGATGTAATCCAAGGTTCATGAGGATGTACTGCTGCCTTGGCCCACTGAAGAAAGGTTTTAAAGATGGGTGCAGACCTATTTTGTGTTTGGATGGATGTCATATTAAAGGTAGATACCCAGGCCAGCTGTTGACAGCTATTGCAGTGGATCCCAACAATTGCTTTTGGCCAGTTGCATGGGCAGCTGTTGAAAAGGAGGCCACGGAGCAATGGAGATGGTTCCTAACCCTCTTGAGTGGCGACCTGGAAATACAGAACCAGGGACATTATACTTTCATGTCTGACCAGCAGAAGGTAAAAGCTTAATGAGAGATCTAAAACTTTTATTCTATGGTAAAAATAAGCCCCTTAACTTTTTATAGCAGAATTTAAGCCCCTTAACTTTTAGTGTAGGTAAAAACAAGCCCCTGAACTTTTAATATAGCATACTTGTTGCCCTCAAACTCACCACTTGGCTTGGATATCTAACTTATACCTGTTGTGATATTTTTTGTAGGGTCTGGACAGAGCACTCGCAGAGGTTCTACCAAATTCTGAACACAGATACTGTGTTCAACACATGTATAGGAATTTCAAGAAGAAACATCCAGGATTATGTTTAAATGATCGATTGTGGCATATAACAAGCACCACAACAGTTGAACATTTCAACCAAGCCTTGGATGACCTTGAAGCCTATGACAAAGAAGCACATGCATGGGTGAAGAAGGGACCACACCCTCGACATTGGTGTAAGGCCTTTTTTTCCAAACATACAAAGTGTGATATGTTGGTTAATAACCTGTGTGAATGATTTAATGCCCATATTTTAGAGGCTAGGGACCAGCCTATTATTTCTATGATGGAGGCTATTAGGGAATACCTGATAGAAAGGATCCAAAAGAGAAGGGCAGCAATGGAAAAATACAAGTTAGATGGTGGACCACTCATTAGAGAAATTGTGGAAGAAAGGGTCAAACGTGCAGCACAATGGGAAATAACATGGAATTCAGGCTCAGGTTATCAAGCAAAAGGGCCACGGGGAGCCCAATTTGCTGTTGACCTTGACAAAAATGAGTGCACCTGCAATTTGTGGGCCTTGAGTGGCATTCCATGTTCCCATGCAATTGCTGCTCTACATAGAGCTAAAAAGGATCCCTACAAAATGTTGGCTAATTGCTATCATAGGGAGGTATTTTTTACCATCTATGATAATGTGTTGCAGCCTATTAATGGAGATATTCAGTGGCCACAGTCAGACATGCTGGAGTTGGACCCACCAGCAAGTGTCACTCAATCTGGTAGGCCAAAGAAAGCTAGAAAGAGAGATGTTACAGAAGGAAAAGATCATGGCAAAAGGTTGCGAAAGAGGGTTGTAATCCACTGTAGAAAGTGTGGAGGGATTGGACATAATGCTAAAACTTGCAAGAATTCTCCTAAGTCATCTACTGAACAGCAACCTTCTCAACAACCACCACCTACTAGACAACCATGTAATCAGCAGCAGCACGAAGCACCAACAAAAAGACAACGTGTGCGTTTGCACTTCATTATAACTTTCAGCCTGTTTGTGACCTTTTTTTGTGATCTGAAATGCTTTCTTTAATATGTAGGTAAGCAAGAATTAGGGACAAAGAAATCAGCAAAAAACTCAGCAGCAGCCAACACATCAACCTCAGTCTCAGCCTTCTCAGCAGCCACCAATACATCAACCTCAGTCCCAGCCTTCTCAACAGCAGCCAACACATCAACCTCAGTCCCAGCCTTCTCAGCAGCCACCAACACATCAACCTCAGTCCCAGCAATCCACCTCAAGACCACCAGTTCATAGGCACAAGAGAAGTACATCAAAAAGGCCACTGACAGAAGCAGACAAAGGTTTTATTAATCTCAATTATGCTTATTTGGGTAAATATCCACCTTTCAATGTTGGAAACTGGCAGGGAAGAAGTGGAGGAAGAGGAAGAGGCAGGGGAAGGGGAAGAGGAAAGGGTCTATCAGGAACAAGTTCTTGAAGTATTGCTGGACCTGCAAATATTTTTGTGTGATTTTGTTGACTGTAAATGAATGTAACTAGAATGTTGAAACTATAAATGATATTTTTTGAATAGGCTTTTGTGGGGAATCAAAGCATGTGCCTGTGCTTGGTATCTAGCAATATGGACACAGGTCACTGCTTTTTGTGTATTTGTCTATTTCCTATGAAAGTGATTGTTGACTGTATTTACAGGCAAACATCATTGTAATTTCCTTTTGCTAATTATATTCTAATGTTATGCAGTTGCTATCTTATATTTGTATGGTTTGGTATAGCAGTTTTTGTTGACTAGATAAATCAAATACATCTAACAAAGCCCATGACATGCGAATTGGGATAAATAATTCTCATCACATTACTTGCCGAAAATTACAGTTAGCATTGATTGGGTTCAACCACGCTTTTACACTAATCTGTGGGTACAACAAAGACTTGTTTAAGCTAAACAATACAATATACTTCTCCCTAACCATCTGCATCATACACCATAGATCCATTTGCTCCATCCATGGTCCTCAAAACTGGCAGTACCGATGGCAATATGTTACACTTACACACTGCCCTTCATGTATCGTCTTCAATTTGCATAATCCCATTACATTTATTCCCAATTTGGAGCATCCCAAGAGAGACTCCACCTGTAATTTTTTTCTCTGTAAGCACCATTATTACAGCAACCAACCAACTTACCACAAAAACCCTTACAAGGGACTTATTCAACCATTTTTGCCACCGCAGCTGCTTCTCTGTTTCTCTCAATTTTGCCTTCAACTTGACAGCTTTTGCCTCGGATCTCGCGACTGCAGTTTCAAATTCGTCTTTTTGCTTTTCTGTTGCATTGATCCTCCTTAGAAGGCCTGGTATCAGCTCAATAGAACGACGGCACATCTCGTCGTCAATCCAATTCCAATACCCGCAGCCACCAACTTCTTCTGAGCAAACGGCGTACCTTCTTCCTGGATTTCTATCAGTCCAAGAAGTAATCATTTTCGTGACTTTACCACAACGACAAGTAGGAAGCAGAGGGCCGCGATATTTGCGCATTTTTTCCTTCCCTTCACAAAGCTTTTACCTTCTCCCCCCCTTTTTTTTCCTTTCAGACTTCTCTCTTGCTTCAATATCGATGATTTTTCGGCGTGATTTGCCACTCCTTGTTGCTTCAATCTCGATGATACCCAAACCTGACAGTGCTGATTCTCTCTTGCTCTTCTCCCTCCGCAAAGATCCTTAAGGGAAGATGAAAATGGGTAAGGAAAATGTAGGAAAGATTTTCTCTTGCCACTCCATTGTTGCTTCCATTGTTGCTGTGAAGTTTCGACTAGCAGTTGGGTTGGGTTGGGTTCGGAAAATGGAAAGGAGGGAGGAGTTGTGCCCTTTTTGTTTAGAATATGCGGACAAAAATGCCCTTTGAAGAAGCACACTTGCATTCGTGTGAATTGGTCCTCCGGTTGCAAAACCGGAGAAACTGGCTAAAAGGGCCACGGTTTCCCACTTTTACAAGTTCAAGGGCTTAAAGTCATCAAAAAATAGATGAGGGGCTTAATTTTACCTAGACAAAGAGTTAAAGGGCCAATTAGATAATTTGTCCAATGATCAATGTAGTTAAGAATTCAAATGAAGGACCAATATAGCTGATGTTGGTGTTATATAAAAAATAAAATTAAATGGGTACTCGAGGGATATTGAGAGCGGGAGGGGTGATAAAAAGAGAATCCTTGGTTCTAAATCTGTCCTATTGTCATCCCAAACAAATCCATGTTCTATTAGCTTGGAATCATGTCTATCCATTAATCAAATCTTTCTTTCTATATTATAACCACTTGGCTCAATTATTTTTCTTTATTATTATTATTATTATTATTATTATTATTATTATTATTATAGATGTCTATAAGTACATTGTTTAGATTCTAGAAATTAACAAACTCTTCAACTATTCAACTTCTTCATTTCCATTCAAATAATATTTTTCAAAAGCATCCTTAAATTGCTTATTCAAGTCTTTCATCAAACTTATTTTTATTTTAAAGGTTATGAATGAATCATCAAAATGAGATAATACTACAGTTCATTCCTAAGACAAAAACTACAATAAAAAGGTTTGTAATAAGAAATGCATAAACTATTTTCACAAGCTAACCAGGTATTCATTAATGAAGAGATATATGATATCATTTTTATGTATACATAATCATATATCTAAGCATAGGCAACTCATTTATGTAAAAAGTATATATTGTTTTTCTTCGAATTGATTTTGTTTCGAACTCTAGAGGTAATTGATTGTGTTAAAATTTATCAAAAATTAAATAAAATTTGTTTACACATATTTTAATAAATGTTTCTATCGTATTTTTTCTTGTTCTTATCCCATTCCCTTATGTGAGCAAAATCCCTAGTTTAGTGTTTATAAAAAATCATGAAATGTTTAATTAGGCCAATATTATTTTAGTTAGTGCTCAATATACAGTCTAATGCGTGTGCAGTTAATTAGAAATATTCAAAATTATCTGTATATAACGTTTTCTTTTGATTGGGTCACATTCCTTTCTAATCTAGATTATATAAACAAAATATTTTTTATTGGATCAAATTCCTTTTTGCTATGGATGCATTGGCTTCGTGGCTAGGTTGAGATTCCAAAACATTATGGTTCTAGGTTCTAATCCCTTTGCCCCTTCCCCTTTCTTAAATCCCATCCCTTCTGCTAAAAATTTTTTTTTTAAAAAAAAGATTATTGTGTAGAAAAATGATAGAAGTTGGGTCTATATTATTGTATAGAAAAATGATAGAAGTTGAGTTGAGTGAACATAGAAAAGTAATAAGTGGATAATCTCAACAAATGAGTTGAGTTGTTATAGGAAAGTTGTAATTAGTGAATAATCTCAACAAATAATTATATACTGAGTTGAGTTGTTGTAAAAGAGTTGTAATAAGTGGATAATTTCAACAAATAATTATGTGCGGATTGGAATTTTTTTTTGAAATAAAGCCCTTATAATTAAAAGTAAATTAAGAACTTTATAAAATGATACTGTATGCTATAAGCACACAGTGACACTTTTCCTTTGTGTGTTGTTAAGATAATCCGCCAATTTAGCTACTTAACACACTCGTTAAATAGTAGCTCATTGAGTCATCCCATTCACCGAATTCTTGCCAGGCAAGGTTAGTAACTATACATAGGATAATGTCTTATACTGCGGAAGGTGACTTGCATATTTACCATTGTAAATTCTTTTATGCACTATGTAAATTTAAGACATTATTTTCCACATATTTATTAAACCCCATCTAGAAAAGAGCTAAGTAAATAGAGTGGGTCTATGTACAAAAAAAAAAAAGACATTATTTTGCACATAGTTATTAAACCTCATCTAGAAAAGAGCTAAGTAAATAGAGTGGGTCAATATTGGTTTAATCAATGGGTTAAAGTGACCTTAAATTCAAACTCCATATTAGAATGTGAATCAAGTTTAGGGGTGATATATATGAGTCAAATCCGAATAGAGGTGTCAAAATGGTGATTTGGGTGGGTTTGGGTTGATCATAATTGGATAGTAAGTATAATTGGATCAGGTCATAATTGGATAGTAGGTATAATTGGATTAATTCATTTATACTCATTTAAAATGAGTATGGATACATCAAATTACCCATTTGATATAACAGTATTTTATTGTTATTAGATTAGTAAGAAATTCAAATTTATTTACTTAACACACTAAAAGTTGAGTTTAAATGTATAATTATTTTTAAATTGATATGAATGGGCGAGTCAATCCACTACCCACTAATTAAATGGGTTTAATTGGGCACCCATTTAAACCCATTGAAAATTAATGGGTGGGTTTGGACGGGTTATATTTGGGCGAGTTTGAGCGAGTGAACATAATTGGGTTGTGATTGACATCTATAAATCCGATTAAGTTACGATAACATTTTTATACACTGTCAGTGTATAGATTTTTTTTTTACACAAGCAGATTTAGATCATGCCACATGAAATCAAATTTGATATTCAAATCATTTGCATATGACGCACAATCAAAATTGCTAGCGTAAAGAAATTACTACACTGTTATTGCAGTGCTGTTTGGATTGCTATTTTTAGGAGTTTTTATAGAAAAATGTATTGTAGCAATTTGATATGTGTGAAGTAAAAAGATGATTGGGAAATGCATTCACACAAAACATAAAAATTTTCTATGGAAACTAATAATCCAAACAAGTTAACCTCACATCAACTCCATTTTTCTGAATCACTTCAATTGCAGACCTGCTTCATATGCACAATTTTCAAATGAGAAACTTATATGTTTATACACCTTATTCAAAACTTAAGAGTAAATATATTTACTACAAGTACACGTAAACATAAATAATTCCTTCACCCCTTTATATACCAAAAATAGAGGGTACACGTAGCATTTCACAAAAGAACACCAAATTGGTGGCTTCACCCCAAAATCCAAATACACCAAAAAGCAACTCTCCATCAATACACAAAAAGGGCCTCCTCCTTTTTCTCTCTCTACAAAGAATTTTCAATTTTTCTCTTTCTCAATATTTGGACATCATCGAACAAGCCACTCCCGGTAAATCTTCTGCCCTCCTTCTATCTCTCTTTGTAGCTATTCTTTCTTGTAGGATTAATAATGGTGAACAGATATTTATCCTGTCCTCCATCGGCGTAGGTTAGCACTTACTACCCCATATTTCATTCGCAATCCATCATCAAAATCCTATATATATAGGAGAGAGAAATTATAATCGGAGAAAAATCACTCAAAAAAATAATACATACATATATATATATGGGTTAATTACATTTACCTCCCTCAAGGTTAGGCCAAACTACTAATCAATCCCCGTGGTTTAAAAACATAACAGATACCCTCTCATAATAACTTTCGTGACTTGTGATTAATGGAAGTAAGGAAAAAGACTAAATGCCCTTCAACATGTTTGATCAATTTCTAAAACAAAAAAAAATATTTTAAAATTACTCAAATAGCCTTTTGGCAGGAAAAGCTATAGATGTCTCCTATATATTTGTCACTACTCCAACCACTATTCCAGCAACCATCTTATTTATCATCATACTCCTACACTCTCTCTCCTTCTATATTAACCTTTTCTCCTCTGCATGGTTCAAAGGTTTAATCTTTAAACTTCGATTATTCTACTCCTTCTTGTTTATTCAAATATTTTACTTTCTAATCCCGATGATAACCAAAACAAAATAGAAGATTGTAGTAGTATTGTTTGGCTTGTTTAAGTGACGAGAGCTTGGAAGGATGGTACATCTTTAAACTCATTAAGATTTACTCACTTTAGCATTTCATTTTCCTTGAAGCCGAATCTAGATAAAAATGAAATGTGTTCTAAAATGTCTGGACAACAATTTGAGGCAACAACAGTTGCTGCACGTGGACTATTTCATGGAGGAACACAGGTGTCAATTGTGGATAACATTCCTTTTGGAGGAACACAGGAATCTGTTCAAACTTCTCAAGTTATATTACTTACTCTCTAAAGAATTATATGACCAATAAATGGACTTTTCACTAATTTATTTAAAGACTTTCATACTTAGGGGTCAATAGATTACATAAGTGGTACCAATACTAGAGCATTAGAAGAGATGTTTGGAAGTTCATGTGCATCCATGCTTATGGGTAATGATCTTGTGAGAAAGGTGTTGAAGGCAAAAGCTACCAAAAACTCATCATTGAATGTTGCTCCTAATTCATTAGCTACTGCAGAGGCTTCAACTATGGCAGGAACAAGACCAGTTGCAAATTCTAATGGAGAAGAGACACTTGCACATTCTAATGGCTGCCTTTTTACCTCATCTGTTGCACCAGTTACTGGAAAATCTTTTATATCTTAATATGTCATGTATTGAGTCCTATGTTACTAGTACTTTATTTTGGTTGCAAACTTGGTTGACTTAATGCTTTTAGCAAGTCTTCTGTGGTATCAGTAATAATTGGATAGCTATCTAGGTCTTAGGCAATGTTTCATAAGTCCTATCAGTAGCTATTAATCTAGTGTTGCTAATAATGTAATAAAAACATGCATTCTGGTGAAGAGCATTTGCATGTTTTCTCATAATGTTTACTTCCAAAAAAATATGCATTCTGGTGCAAATCTAACATTAAGATAGATGCTTGAGTATTTCATCTGAAGTAATTTTTGGAGAATTTGGAAGATTAGTTCTCAATATTGATGCTATGTTTGACTGTTCTAGAGTAAGTTTCTTACATTTGGCCTACTATTGTAATGACTAATCTCCAGGTATAGAGATGTGCATTATAATACTAAAATTTTGCAAAATTTGATTGATTTAAACTTCAAAAAAAAAAAAGAGATTCAAGGGATAAATTAAGTGCTCAATCACTTGGAAAAACACAATTGATCATTTTCACTAGCCGTTTATGTTGAAGCACAACTAGAAGAGACCACATTCAGATGGATTTTTTTAGAGTATTTTCATTGTTTAATCTTTATCCGGATGGAAAAGGCTATTTTCGGAATAAAATAATGGACAAATAATGGCATGTGGTCTTGAAGGACATTTTTGGACTTTCACTTTAATTTTGGCCAACACTAGTAGAATCCCTAACGGTTTTAGATGATAGGGTGACTTTTGTTAAACAATAATAAATTTGAAGGGGGTATCTGTTATTTTTTGAGATCATAGGGATTGATTGGTAGTTTGGCCTAACCTCAGGGGAGGTGAATGTAATTAATCCTATATATATATATATTTATATATATATTTCGTGTAAAGATAAAAAACAACTAATAGTAACCAAACCAAATCAAGAAAACGAAAAAAAGAAAAAAAACCTCCCGTTTTCAGAAACGAAGCGACGCCGTTTTTCATTTCCTTCCTCTTTTTACCTCCCTTCTCCGCCGCCGGCTGTTCTCCTGCTTCTCCCGCTTACGTCACTTTCCGGCGTGCGAAAGGTTGTAAAACCTTGGCAGCTTTCCTTCGTCAATTCTCGGCTTCAATTCGTCGAAAGTTCGTCGGAGGTGGGCGGGTTTTAATGAAATGGGTTCATTTTCTCCTTTTTGGTATAAATCAAGGCTTTTCCGATGCTTTTGTGGGTGAATTAGGGTTTTTTTTTCGGGTATGGAGTTAGGATTATCCTGCACAATTTATAGATAGTTATTATTTGCCGAAGAGGTTGAATTTGTTTTGCTTATAGAGTGGTGTTTCATTGAGCGATCCATTTTTTTGAATATTTCTGGTCTATTGTTTATAATTTGAACTGCCTGGTACTCTGACCGTACTTTTGGGTATGATTTTTCTCTACGATGGTGAGTTTGGTTGTGTTTATTATGTGCTCTGTTTTTGGTGGGCAGAGTTAGGATTGCAGCTGCATATGCCTTTTTGAATTGCATCCAAATGTTTTTCTGAGGTTGTTTTATATGAATGTGGGGGTGAATGTTTTAGGTATGTTTTGATTTCTACGTGCTAAACAGCTATATTTTGACTTCTTGTGTGCAGATTGTGTATTTTGGAGGGATTTTGGAGGAACTAACAAAGGATATAGCATTGATTGATTGGATATATCGTAGGTGCATTAATTGGCGAGTGGTGGGAAGTGAGTATATAGGAATTAAATGCGAGAGAGCAATAATGGCTTTCTATAGGAATTATACGAATGAAACCATAGAACAGAGAAGGGTATTGGATGAGAAAGACCAGGAACAGGGTATGGATAGAGTAATAGGAAACAATGATGAAGTGGAAGCCACTTCGAGTGATAATGAGGTGGCTGTGGAAGATAATAGTAGACTAGCAGGCACGCAACCGCCTGCAAGGAGGACAGTTGTGGCTGGAAAATGGGGTTCAAGTTTTTGGAAGGATTGTCAGCCCATGGAGTCCCGCGGTGTGTTGGAGTCGGGAGAAGAGTCAAAGAGTGGTTCGGAGTACAAAAATGAAGAAGGATCTGAAGATGAATCATCTGATGGAGAGGAAGATAAGGCCAATGAGTTGGAAGATGGTGATAATGGGAAAGAAGTGGGTAAGGGTCAGAGTGTCCCTCCGGATGAGATGTTGTCTGATGAGTACTATGAGCAGGATGGTGATGATCAGAGTGACTCATTCCATCACAGAGCATTGAATCGCTCCAGTGGCTTTAGTTCGAAGCCACCACCCAGACCTGTTGCTGCTAACAAGTATGCATCTACAAAGTCAAAGTCTTCAAAGGCTGATTATGATGATGATGCTGCTGATTATGAGGAGGACGATGAGGATGAAGGGGATGGTATGCAGCTTTTTAAACTATTGCAACTTTGCAATATTGCTATTATGATGCATATAACACCAATAGTAAACCATTCAGTGTCTTATTGGTTTCTGATTCCTTGCAGAAGATGATCCGGATGATGCTGATTTTGATCCAGATTTTGGTGCCACAAGAGGACGAAGGGGAGGCAAGGTTGTTTATTCTATGTTAATGCAGTTAACAACACAATTTTGTGATGATAGATTATTCTCTTAACTGTAGGATGTGGACTTCCTTTTGGATCTTTGACCTGCTGTTACTAATGGACACCTATTGCTCTGTTTAATATTGAGCGTTCTATCATCTTCATATGTTGAAGAATCGTTTAAAATTGATTTAGCTTTGTGGGCGTTGATTGCCTTAAAGACCTTGATGGTAGAAGTATTTTGTGTGATATCAATAGGTAAGTATTGTGATCGGTAAAGTGCGAAATTGCTTTGTTTGGCCAATTTCTTTGGTCTGGGTTTAAAAGGTGTTATCATGAACATGCAATTTTGAGAAATGTTGGTGTTCTGTTCTTGGAAAGTGAAAGGAAACCGTGATGGAGCATTCAAATAGTGAAATGGGAAACTAAAAAAGACAAACTGCTATTTGCTTTTGACTTTTTCTTTGAGCAACTCTAGGCAACTAAAATGATTATCCGCTGAATATGTGAGTTGAAATGCTATATATTCTTGTCATGTCATGAGAACGTCAAAAAGACAATTTTGAATTAGAAAATTTGTATTCTTCATGATCAGTTGGTCATTGGAATGCTTTTCAAGAACAGTTACACTTCCCTCCTTTAATGACTCTTTAAATTGAAAAGGCCATCTATGTTTTCAAATTAACGATGTTATCTTCCCTCATTTAGTGCCTTTCTGTTCTACACTGCATTGTCTTTAAGGCTATCTGCATATTTTAAATCTCGTAATCATCAGACGATTTTCATCCTTCCTTACCATTATTGCTATCAGGCATTTTATGCGGGGAAGTTAAATGATAAAGTTATTTCCTGAAAGTGTCATAAAGGTAGGGTGCTTGATTACGAGATCCTCTGAAAACCTATTTTTCAGTGTCCCTGCAATTATTCTGTTGAGAATTATACTGGAGCTGGACATAATAGTTATTTGTTGCTATTACAAGTTAAAACAACACGGGGATGAAGTCCTAGTTTTTAAAGGTGCATGAGGCAGACGATAAGGCACGTTTGCATGCACCTTGTCTGTCTTTTTCTACCAGGCGAGGAATTTGTACAGGCACAATACTTTTAATGTACCGAGGTTATTGTTGATTTGCAATGTAATTTGGGTTTGTATAAAATATTGGAACATGTGGGTGCATGTTATCATGGCAATTGCACGAAATTTTGGGAGTGCTGAGTGCATTTGAGTTATATAAGAGTGAAGACACACATGGAGTCGGCATCCTATTTTTTGCTTGCTTTGAAACGCCATAGACACTTAAGTACCCTTTATTCCTAGGGATGTTTCTCTCTCCTTTCTTTACTCTGCTTTCTACTCTTGTCCTTATTGAGTACATCTGTCACAGCCTTCGGATGTTCCTTTTTCTCTGCAGAGTTTCCTGTCATAAAATACCCTTTATCCTTCCACTTTTTTTCTTTTCTTTTTTTTTTTCAAAAAAGCCTTCCACATGCTAGTCTCTTCCTTCTCCACTTTTCTTTTTTGTTCTTTGTCCTATGTGTCCCTCCATCTAGTGAGAGTCACGTCTGCGACTGATCCTCACGACACCTTTTGCAACTATGATATGTTTATTGCTAGCCTTTTTTTTTTAGTTACACTATGATAGAGTATTTATTGCTTAAAATTTTTTAGTTACTTCTGGATAGCTTACTATTTCTCAATCTTGTTTGCAATAAAAAGTTTGGGCATTTAGTCCTTTTTATCTTGGAATATTGGTGTTGTTAAACTCACATCCTTGAAGGATATCAGCATTTATTTAGAAACTAATGGAAAGGTCTATTTGCATTTAAAGGCATGACACGAGAATTTTCATAAAGAACAAAAGCATTCTCTTTAAAAAGAACAGTTTCCTTACTCCTTAAAAAGAATACTGTTGAATTCTGTGAAGTCTATAATTTTTATAAAATTGATCTTTTTGGCATATTACTAACGTTTGGTAGCTTTGAAATTTCAACTAAGTTTGCTTAAGTCTGTATTTCCTGTCTGATGGTTATTCCAGGAATAAGAGCTTTTCGTTCAAAAATCTTATTCTGTAACTGTTTTTGTTTGTTGGTTTTTTTTTTTTTTTTGAAATCTATTAACAGAATGTCCATTTTTCAATTAATAGATGACTTGGGGAGTAATAAACCTGCAAAACTAGTTGTATATGGAAATTGCATTGGGTTTAAATACGCTTAAAGATTAATGCAAAACATGGATGCAGGAAAAAGAGAACTTGGGTTACCAAAAGCAAACCACAGCAGAAACTGAGGGAGTAAATTGTTTGCATATGGGATGTTATTTACAAGCTCAAAGAGGCATATGTTGAATGGTTACTTTTGTTGTTTGCCTCCACATGACACCTTCACTAAACTGATAGTGCAATTTGAATGCAAATTACAAATTTGACAAGTAATTATTTACACTACAGCAATGTACTTGTTTCACTACATTTATACACTGTTTAAATTTTTGGTATTACCCTTTCCTAGTTTTGATGCACATGCCTTATGCAATACTAATATTCGAGCAATGGTAACATCAAGCACTATTAACCCCTAAATTCCCCTTGGGCTTGCAACTCTGCTCTCAATCTCAATTTGCCTCCAGAAGCACTCCTTTATTCCCCTCTTCAGCTCTGTATTCTTTCCAAACCAAACCTGAAACCATCAGCTACTGTTAATTTTCACCAATAACCACTTTTGGTTTCCTATGCTGCTCAATCTCTATCCAGCCCCAGCCCAACAAATAAGCTCCTTCTGTAAACAGGTGTAGACATGCTGACACATCAGTCTTAGTGTCTGACAGCTTGCAATTTATGTTATCTAATGTGCCGTGTATTTGTACCACGTGTAATTTGTATGTGCATGGTCTATTTTACCTGTAAAATCTGTTTGTGTGCATGTCTCTCATTTCTTTGTAATTTCTGTGTGATTAATGTGTCTTTGCTGTTATTGGATTTGTATTTTCTGCTCACCTTTGCATGTAACTGTGTACTGTGTTGTGGTGCTTTTGTGATTTATATGTCCATGTGAGTAAGGGAAAAATACTTTGAGATGACTGCTGTTATGTTTGGATTAATGTTAACAAGGCCATTTTAGGAACTTTAGGTAAACAAGGGTTAAAGGTTTTTTAAGGGCAAAGATCATGGATATCATACTCATGCGTTGTATCTAAATGAGGACTAGAGAGTAGACTGGTTAGTAAGAGTTGAAAATTCTGGGATTACATGAATTCAGTTGAGGGATTAAATGTGCAAACAGATCAAACTGCTCCACGACCTCTGGCTTTTTTCTTGCCCTGTTGTCTTTCTCTTTTCACTCAACTCATTTGGGTAGAAGGTTAGATATTGTCTTTTTGGCTCACACCTTATGTTTTCTAACTTCAGCTGTCCTATTTTATTAGCTGCATATATTTAAAATGCGAGAACCTATGGTGTCAAATTTCTTGAAGCACTTATAAATATTAGGTGGTTAAGTAAATTGTGAACATTTGCCTCCCAAGTAAGGAATTTGTTATTCCATGATTTTTCTCTAATTTGACCTAATATCTCTCATTTGGTCTCGCTTTTTAGTCTCCTGTAATTTTAATTTTTGAAGTTGTTTGGAATAAGATGCCAAATTGTTCATGATTGAAACAGAGATGTGATTCGTCTGCTTCTAGTTATGTTTAGTCTGAAAAACGGGCGTCTATAAGATGCTTAGCATTGTGCACTCCAACTGTCTTTTGACAGCACAAGAGATTTTGTTCTGGTATAGAATGAAGATGTAAACGTTTTTTGAGTAATTTTTTTGCATCTCTCTGTAGGAAAAAGATGAAGACTGGGGTGCTGAAGAGTCTGATGAATCTGATAACAATGAGGATGAGGATGATCTGAATATTTCAGATGAAGAAGATGTGTATTATAGCAAGCCGAAGGCCAGGCAAAAAAGCAAGGGTGGACGAAGTGTGAAGTCTACCAGACAAGTTAAACCGGTCATGTCATCTAGTCGGCAAAAAAGAGGTAGAATTTCAATTGATGAAGAATCGTTATCGGAAAAGGACTCAGAGAATGATAGCGAAGAGGATTTCCGAAGCATGACTAGGAGAGGCACACAGATCCGGAGGAAGAATGACGGTCGATCAGCATCAGTTAGCAGTTCTAATAGGATCAACGAACTTCGAAGTTCAAGTCGCTCAGTGCGTAAAGTATCATATGCTGAAAGTGAAGAAAGTGAAGAAATTGATGAAGGCAAGAAAAAGAAAGGCCAGAAGGTAAACATGTGGTTTCAAATGGAAGCTTTTAACTTTTCTTCCTGGTTCATTTCTTAGTTTTGTGACTTTCAATTTATGAGTTTGACACTAGTATATGGAGTTCTAGATTTTGTCTCTAAATTTTTTTTAAGTTCTTGAGACTTTATTCAATTCTTTGGTAATCTGATTATAACTTCTGAAATCATTGAGCTTAGTGTCCCTTGGTGGTCGGACTTGCAAAAATGCTTTGTTTTATAAGGTGATTGGAAGAGCTGAAATACACATTGAATAATGGCAACCATTTTGGTTGTTTTTGTTTTTCTTTGTTCTTCATTTGTTATGCAATAACAACATTTGACTATCTTTTTATGGGTCCTTGAAATTCTATTCCAACTATTGATAACACCTTTTAAAACTTTTGTACAGAATTTATTATTATTATTATTATTGTATAAGTTTTCTTTTGTGGTCGGGATCTAGGAGTGCTTTTAGTCCCCTTCATGCTGCTTTACTAGCTGCATCTGAGTTTGTACCTATGGTTATCAAACTCTTGAGTGTGGTTAATTTGCCTGTATTTTGCCTATTTACAAGTTGAATGCTTTTCAGCAATTTTATGCAAAGGTTTAAGCTTTCTTTTAGCAGTTGGTGTCTTCTGATGATCTTGATAATCAACCTTTTCTGTTTTCTTGCTTTTAATGTTCTTTTTCTGTAAGGATGATGTCTGTGTGTTCTTGAGGTTTAGATGGCCCTGCAGCATTGATTTTCTTTTATGGTATATTTGTTTGTATCACCAGTGTATCTGGAAAGGTTTAAGTAATTATTGTTATCTACTTGGTCAATGATAGGAGGAATTTGAAGATGAAGATGGTGACATAATTGAAAAGGTATTGTGGCATCAGCCAAAGGGCATGGCGGAGGAAGCTTTAAGGAACAACAAATCAACAGAACCTGTTCTGTTAAGTCACTTGTTTGACTCAGAACCAGATTGGAATCAGATGGAGTTTCTGATAAAATGGAAAGGCCAGTCACACTTGCACTGTCAATGGAAATCATTCTCTGATTTGCAAAATGTTAGTCATTAGATTTACGATTATTGGAAACTCTAGTTTGGTATAATTACTGTTATGAGATGCTGTGTTATTTGAAAATCATTTTCAAATATGGCAGTTTTAGCCAACAGCTTATTAATCTTTCCTTACCTTTTTTATTTGCAGCTCAGTGGTTTTAAAAAGGTTGTGAACTATACCAAAAAAGTTACTGAAGATGTGAGGTACCGGAAGAAAGTATCTCGTGAAGAGGTAGCCTCTTGCAGTATATTGATGTAAATTGTTGATTAAGCAGAATATTTATATTGATGTTAAACTATTGATTAAAGAGAATATTTGTTTATGCGATTGGACGAATTGGATGAACTTTGGTGAGTGAACTCATTTCATGCATTTTATATGGAATGCTATCACAACAGCAAGGTTTAAAATTGCTATTTGGTAAAGGATGTCATTGGAAGTTTAATATGTTTAATTTCTTCTGTAGTGTTGACAAAAATGGTTTTGTTGATTAATATTGAATATAGAGACGGAATTTGCCATGTTAATTGTTTTCCTTTTTATTTGAGGATTAATTCTTGTCTTTTTGCTGCTTTTTTAAGTTTTCATCTAACTCTTTGAAAAGAGGCTTAGAATCAAGAAATGGACTTATACTGATTTTTTAGACTCATTAGTGATCCCTCCTTTTAGACTCTAGAGTTCTTTGAAGAAACGTTGTCTGACCTGGGACAAAGTTACTTGTTTATCTAACATGATTTAGCTTTGTATGGAAATGCTATAATGTTCACAAACTATATGATGGAGCCTTTAGTTTCTACTTAGATGGTCTATGCTTGTCTACTGAAGTGTCTGGACGCTGAATAATTCCAGTACATCGTCCCAGGTTGAATTGATTGTTGATCTTTATCTTCTTCAATAATTGTTCAAGTTTGGATACATAATGTTTTTGTCTTGATTCTACTTCCAGAACTTCTGACTTCTTCTTATTACCTCAATTCTTTTATCACATTCTACTTTTGGTAGATTGAGGTGAATGATGTGAGCAAGGAAATGGACTTGGACATTATCAAGCAAAATAGTCAGGTAACTTTCAGAATCAGTTTCCTGGGTGAACATCTGTGAGCCTTTCATGATGAAATTGGGTAATTGAAACTCAGGTGGAGAGAATCATTGCTGAAAGAATCACCAAAGATATCTCCGGTGATGTGGTGCCAGAATATTTAGTTAAATGGCAAGGACTGTCGTATGCTGAAGCAACTTGGTAATTTTGAATGCTTCATTTTCTGGAGTTTATCATCTAGGGTGAAATAAGTAAAATTTTTTAATGACTTTTCTAGGGTGTTGATCCCCATCTTGTGTTCTTATGTTGACTACTAAAGATGGTATATCTTCAGTGGGTTCCTGTTGGTGCTGCATTTTTTATGTCAGTCATTGTTTATTTATCATTTTTTTCACCATTCAGTCTGGATTTAAATACATATTGGGTTTGTTCCACTATTGTAGGGAGAAGGATGTTGATATTTCATTTGCTCAAGATGCTATCGATGAATACAAGGTTTGCATTCTTTAAGATATAATGTTGGGTTTTGTTTAATTTTCCTTCCAATCTTAAAAGGTGGTAAGGGTGATGACGGCATCAGTTTTATGAACTGTCTAATCTCAGTTTGAGTTGCATTAAACTTTTCTATGCTCATTGCTTCCACTTCATATGTTTGCTTGTTTAGTTTGATTTCATAGCTTGCATCCTTGAAAATTTTCTTATGTGTTATCTTATTTCTGTCCATCTTTACTTGAATCATTTCATTTCCCTTAAAAAAATTTGTATGGAAAGGAACTTTCACTGCTAAATAGTGTGTAAAAGACTTTTTTCTGAACTCATTTCAGGATTTGTTTGAACTTTAAAATTGAGGTAACAAAATTGCTTGTTTTTTGGACTTTGAAGAGCTAGTCCTAATCTTGAGGCAATAATTGCACTTAATCAAGAACAATAGCTGTAATGTACAATCTCCAATTGATTTTCTAATGATTTAACAGTTGATCAAAGTCCTGAAAAAGTTTCCAATGAAGTCAGTGCAACTTTTGAGTGATTATTCTTCATATCAAATATAATTAACATCATTTTTTTAAGACCTTTTTATTGGCTGAAATACTTTTTGACTTGTATATTGATTGTCAGTTCTGATCCTTTGTTGGATCTGAAATTCTTATGAGATGTTTCCTGAATGTGATGTCTGATATTTGTCACCTTGTTTTTTTCTTTTGGGTCAATATAGTATCAAAGTGACAATTTTTTAGCTGGATAATTCCTTTATTATCAGTGATAAGGGACGATTGGTTTTATCTCATCTAGATTGTGAAAGTTATTTCATAAGGTAACTAATTCCAGAATATCTAAGAAATCATATAACAATCACCCTAGAATGTAGACATCAAATGCTGATTTTAAGCCATGGTGCAATTATGATACTGCTCTATTGCAATTTTGCATATCACTGTCAAATGTGGACAATAACATATTATTTTCTGCTTTCCTTTTGCTCCCTCTCTGTTAGTTTATACTAACTTCTTTCTGGCTTCCCATATGAATATGTGACTTAATTCTCCTTATTCATGTGTACCTTCATTCCCTTAGATGAGTGCATGTCTTCATTCCATTTCTTTTGTTTGACTTGTATATAGCCAGCATAGGAAATGAATTTGGCAGTGTTATTAAAATATTCCAATTTTTTCAATTGCACTCGAGTGTGTTAGCAATTAGATCGGCAAAAGCATATCTGTCGTGATTGTTTTCTCTTTTTCTTTTGCTTTTGATTTGTGTGTTTTATACTGATTCTATGTGTAATGAAAAGCTCTTATTGGTTACAGACCCGTGAGGCTGCTATAATGATCCAAGGAGCAACAGTGGATTTACAGCGCAGAAAGAGCAAAGGTGTGATGGTTTTGTATATAAGCTAGCTTATTTTGTCAATATCATTTCTGACTTTTGCATTCTTGCTTTACAGTTCGTTTTCCTTCTCCATTTTTTTTCGGTTTCTTTCTCTGATCTTGTCTTGGGGAGGCTAGTAATGTGTCTGGCTTCAATGTGTTTGCAGTTGGAAAAAATTTTATCTTAATTAAAGAAAAAATCACCAATTGGATGTGAATGGTATGAAGTTTAAAAGGGAAAATGTATTTTTGTAGCAAAAATGATTATAGCTAACATGAAATCATGGGAGACAATTGGGATGGAAAGCAATTTTTCTGTCTTGTTTTATTTTCAGCTGTACTGTGCTAAACTATGATGCTCCCTTTTTATACTTTATTTGTTAGTTGTGTTTGCTGAGTTTTTTGGCCTTTTTTTAATTTTTTATTATCCTTCCTATTTTTCTGGGAATATAATGTCGTACTTCCACTTTTGTCACTTGTTTTAAAAGTGATTTATGACCTTGTTAGTTTTCCATATTGGAATTCTTTTAAGCTACCATGCAAACGGAACCGTAACTCTAATTTGTATTTTAGGTAGCCTAGTATTACATGAGCAGTTAGAGTTTTAAGTGTCCGATGTGAAGATGAACTTATATTACATGATGTAACAAATGACACCATATTTAGCATGACAATAGTATGAAGGTGGTTGGTGGAAAATATTTTTAGTTTCGATTTTATGACCAGGGGAATTATTTTAATCTACTCTGCAAGAGAATTGTAGTTTTAATTTGCATTCCCTGGGAATAGGGTAGTGATTAATTTTCAAGTGTTCAAGGTGAAGATGGTTATCACAATAGAACTAATACATTACATTGTGCAATATAACACCATATTTAGCATATGGCAAAAGCTTGAAGGTTGCTGCCATATTAATTAAGGTTTGGTGCTTTCTCTCTTTCTCAATTTTTAATTTTAAGGTTTGATGTTATGAGCAGGGCATTCGAATTTTAATTAAAAGGCTTATATTGTTACTAACAGAATCTTGATGTTCACTCACATGCTTTATAGATATTAGATTTTACATTTTCATCGCTTTTTGACCTCTGGATTGTGATATCGAAACTAGCTATTTCGAAACTTGTCTGTTTTGTTTGGATAACTTCTAGAAGCTTTAATTTTTAGTGGTGTGTATAGTTTCTATTGTTCCTGGCCGCTGATGCTGTTGTTTTATTAAGCTTTTTTTAACAACAAATATTAAAGTGGCATGTTTTTGACAAATCAATAGCAATATTTAGCCATTATTCATATGATAGTTTCTTTAAAGCTTGTATGGTATTTCTTGCAGGTTAGACATGAATCTTTATTTTTAATTAGTATGTGGTTCTCTTACGTGTTTCATTTATAACTTGTTATGGTCTGTCTCATGTATTAATACTAAAGTTAGAGCAAAAATGGTTACTCTATTAGGAAGTTTGCGAAAGCTTGATGAACAGCCTGAGTGGTTGAAAGGAGGAAAACTTCGAGATTATCAGCTTGAAGGTCTGAATTTTCTTGTTAACAGGTAAGATTTTGGCACCTGTGGTCTGACATGCAATTTAATGGATTAGGCGTGTTTATGTTTACTTGTAAACTCATGTTTGCAGTGGTTTTTTTTTTTTTGGTTCAATATTTCATTTAATAGCTGGAGAAATGATACAAATGTTATATTAGCGGATGAAATGGGTCTTGGTAAAACTGTCCAGTCGGTGTCCATGCTTGGATTTCTGCAGGTACTTTGCATATTCTTTCTCGTGGTCCTTTTTTAGTATTCTTTTATCATCTCTAACAGAATTATCCTTTGTTTCTTGCAGAATGCGCAGCAAATTCAGGGACCATTTCTTGTTGTTGTTCCATTATCAACTTTGTCTAATTGGGCAAAAGAATTTAGAAAGTGGCTTCCTGACATGAATGTTATTGTGTACGTTGGAACCCGTGCAAGCCGTGAGGTATCTTCAGCTACTTATCCTACTTCTTTGATAATAAAATGGACAAGCCACTTGGAAATCGATTCAGTTTTGGATACTAGCAATTTTTTCTTTCTATAGTTCATGGTATTCAGGTCCATAAACTATGGTTTCACTGCTGAGAATTCTGTTTCTTAGCCGAACGTCACTGGAAAACCTGCTCTAATTCCTAATTAAAGAGAACTACTAGTAGAAATGCATCTCAGGTGTCCTAGTGTTAGCCTGTCCTTCCTGTGACTGCCATGTGGTCATAACTAGACAGTGAAGGTTTCTTTTTCACTCACAGCAAGCTTTCTTTTTCTGTGTTTGAGCTAGGGAATTTGATAGCGATACTGTGCAAGTAAATGTGTATCATCTGACAATACATTGAGTGATCATAGAATGTTAAGAGTGGCCTCTGGTGGTGAAGGATATGAGCTTTCTGTTAACGACAAATTGGAGTATATCAGACTATAACATGAAATGGTTCTGCTGGAAAAGACATTTCTTAATTTTAGTCTTTGTCGGAGATGGATTTATGTAGTTTGTCCCTGAGTTTTCCCACAATGGAATAGTTCTTTATGTCGCTCAGGAATGTCATTTTGTATCATCTTTTTAATACTTATTTGTCCTGCATTTTCTATGGAATTACAGGTTTGTCAGCAATATGAATTTTACAATGAAAAGAAAACTGGCAGGAATATAAATTTTGATACACTTTTGACTACCTATGAGGTGTTACTGAAGGACAAAGCTGTCCTCTCAAAAATTAAGTGGAATTATCTCATGGTTGATGAAGCACATAGGCTGAAGAACAGTGAAGCTTCTCTGTATACAACACTCTTGGTACAAATAATATTTTGACAGTGTGATTGCATAAGTTACTATATTTGTTTGTTTTATTATAACTCTGCACTATGACTCGACAGGAATTTAGCACGAAGAATAAGTTGCTTATTACTGGTACTCCATTGCAGAACAGTGTGGAAGAGCTATGGTAAGTTTCTTAACATTGCCTAACAACCATTTGTTTATTGAAGTTTGTAGATCATATTCCTTCAGTTTATCAGACCCTGTTAAATTCAAGTAGGAAATGTTAGATCTGACCATTAAAAGCGATTCACTGGGCGGTGACTTAACTGAACAGAGCAATTGAGGATAGATTAATTCTTTCCTCTGTGCCAAATTGTACATGTCGTCCACCTGACATTTTGAGGACGGTAGCATTTGGGTTTGACTTCATTAGCTTATCTTTCACCCAAACAGAACCAGCAACAGTCTTCTTTTTTGAATTTGTTTGGGTGTAGGTAGTGTTTGTTTACAAGGAAAAGTGTGGGAGAATGAAGTAAAGTTGGTTATCCCTTTGAGTGTTTGTTTAGCAGGAAACATATAAATTTTTCCTACACTTTCCCTCAGTTTCCTGGACTTATGTGTCCTGCAAAATTTGCAGGATTTTGGAAGAAAAATGTAAGTTACTAACAATATTCTCAATAACTACAACTAACTACCCATTTTTCCTCCCAATTTTTCTTGTTACACAAACGTGCACAAGAAAGTGGCTTTCTCTTTCCATTCCTTCACCTTCCCTCTAATAAGAAATTCATGGCTGTTCCAGCTATTTTCTGCCCGTATATTTTCAGTGTATGGGTGCCTGCTAATTTTTTTGTTAATCTATCATATCACAGGGCTTTGCTTCATTTTCTTGATGCCAACAAGTTCTCTAGTAAGGATGAGTTTGTTCAAAACTACAAAAATCTTAGTTCATTTAATGAAATTGAGGTACTATTTTCCATTGATTGTGACTGAGCTTTTTGGTTAATTTCTTAAAATGCTGATTTATATTAATCTGAAGCCCATGCCAAATCTCATTGTAGCTTGCAAATCTTCATATGGAATTGAGACCTCACATTCTTCGAAGAGTTATCAAGGATGTTGAGAAGTCCTTACCTCCTAAGATTGAGCGCATACTAAGGGTTGAGATGTCTCCACTCCAGAAACAGTATGCTGCTTCCCTGTACCTATCTTGTTTTCCTGATAAGACATGCAGCTGTCTTATGATTTATGGGTTTCTTGGCCTTCATTGTATATTTAGGTACTATAAGTGGATCTTGGAGCGCAACTTCCATGATTTGAATAAAGGTGTCCGCGGAAATCAGGTCACTTCTGACACCCAATTACAATGAAGAGATTTAGATAATCAAATTGCACAAAGCAAGTTTGAATTTGAATGGTTCCATCCATTTGTCATAAACTTATTGTCATTTCGGTGTACTCATTCCTATTTACAGTGCTGTTTCTTTTTCAGTGCGATTTCAACCACCTTCCAGTTTATTGATGGCATGATTACTTCGTTTTATTCTATTTCTTTGATGCGCAATCTCTGGAGTTCTAAATAGAGAATATATGTGCTCAATGATGCATGCTTTTTAACTTAAAAATGGAGAACTATACTGATTTTTTTAGTGGTTTTTATTTCGTCTGAAAGCAGCAGGCTTGATGTTTTCCAAATTTGCAGGTTTCACTTTTAAATATAGTGGTGGAGTTGAAGAAATGCTGCAATCATCCATTTTTGTTTGAAAGTGCAGACCATGGCTATGGTGGGGACACAAACTTTTTTAGTAGCGCTAAGCTGGAGAGAATAACGCTAAGCAGTGGGAAGCTAGTTATACTTGATAAATTGCTGAATAGACTGCATGAGACCAAACATCGTGTCTTAATTTTTTCTCAGGTTAGCAGATCATTATTCAAATTCAATAATTTGGTTAGGCATGGTTCTTGATGGAATTGTATATTTATTTATCATGCTTTTGGGGCTGCATTGCAAGTTGTTTTTAGCCCAAATTGATTTTGAATTGAACATTGTTACTCAATCTTGAAGTAATTAAACTTGGATAAAATCAGACTTGGCTCTCGTCCTATAATGAAATAATTTTTCTTAGTATTTTCAATTTTGGCTGGCAATAAAAATCTTGAGATGTATGAAATTGGTACTCTTATACATCACAAGTTCGGAGCTTCCCATGTCTTATTGATTCTAATGTCAGACATAATGTTGTTTGAGATTGGATTTGAGTATACTATTGTTTTAGGGCATGCATTTTTGGCCCTTCCCATGCTGCCATCTTTCATTATCTTCAGATTCACAAGATGACTTGAGATCTATTTGAAGCACAGATGGTTAGGATGCTGGATATACTGGCAGAATATTTGTCATTTAAAGGGTTCCAGTTTCAAAGGCTTGATGGTAGTACAAAGGCTGAGTTGCGGCAGCAGGCTATGGACCATTTTAATGCCCCTGGAAGTGATGATTTCTGTTTTCTTCTTTCTACACGTGCTGGTGGCCTGGGTATTAATCTTGCAACAGCTGATACAGTTATCATATTTGATTCAGATTGGAATCCTCAGAATGACTTGCAGGTTTCTATTGAGATTTCCACATCTCCTTTTGCATAATAATGCTTTAACCTTTTGGTTGTTCTTTAAAGTTTGTTGTCATTTTATGTATCAACCTTGTGGATCAGGCAATGAGTAGAGCTCATAGGATTGGGCAGCAAGAAGTTGTTAACATTTACCGGTTTGTGACAAGTAAGAGTGTGGAGGAAGATATCTTGGAGAGGGCTAAGAAGAAGATGGTACACCAATTTTAAGTCTATATTCTTGCTCTTGGATTGCATTGTATATCATCAACTTTTATTGTGGTTGTTAGACACAGATTGTACATGCAAGCTGCAAGTGCTTGTCCTATGATAATCTGTTATATGTTTTTCTTTGTCATAGAACAGTCAACTCATCAATCAGAATTATTGTTGTTGTGCTATTGCGCATGTTTCTTATTATATTCACGAATTGTATGTAGGTCCTTGATCATTTGGTGATTCAGAAACTAAATGCTGAGGGTCGATTGGAGAAGAAAGAAGCAAAGAAAGGGAGTGCTTTTGACAAAGTGCGTATGCTTCATCAATGTTCAATTTGATTGTTCTCCATTTTACTTGCTTTTTATATGAAGCAAAATGGTTTCTAGAAAATAATTGGTGTTCTAGCTTTTTGGAGAATGAACCTCTGTTGTTGTGGTTATTAATTTCTATGTGCTGTTTTGAACCTCTTGAATAAGGCTCTTCCTCCAGCCCTCCCACCTCAACATCTGCCCCTGCAGATAGAGGAGGATGGGAGGAGTAGAATGAAATTGGTCTTGTATAGCCCCTTTCGTAATTTCTTGACCTTGTTTTGGTTTGTTGATTGTAGAATGAGCTTTCGGCGATCTTGAGGTTTGGAGCAGAGGAATTATTTAAAGAAGACAGAAATGACGAAGAAAGCAAAAAGAGGCTCCTAAATATGAGTATTGATGAAATTCTTGAACGAGCAGAAAAGGTTGAAGAGACGGGAGCTGGTGAGGAGGAAGGACACGAACTTCTCAGTGCTTTTAAGGCAAGTGTGCCTGCTTATGGTTTAGATGACTACAAGATCTTTTCTTTTTGTTTATCATATCGGTGGTTTTAAAGTTTCTTTAATCCTGTCACTTTTCTGTCTCTGATCTGAAAGTCATCTCAATGTTCTACTTGATATGTTATTTTTTTTTCCTATTGCAACCATGTTTTGTATAGTTCATTTTGTTCTTTTCTCAATTTGGCCTTTTTCAACCTTTTCTGCCAACAGTTGTACACTTTTGTTATATTTACATGTTAGCTTCATATTCTTTTTCTGCCACTGCATTCAGGTTGCAAATTTCTGCAGTGCTGAAGATGATGGGAGTTTTTGGAGCCGCATGATAAAGCCGGAAGCAATTGCTCAAGCTGAAGTATGCATGTGATTGCCATTCTTGCTTAATTTTGATTTTCCTCTACTGATGCTGCTTTTATTTTACTGCTGATGTGGAAATTAGGAAGCTCTAGCTCCTCGTGCTGCTCGGAATATTAAGAGCTATGCAGAGGCAAATCCTCCTGAAAGTACCAACAAAAGGAAGAAAAGGGGAATGGAATCCCAGGAAAGGCTATCAAAGCGTCGCAAGGCAGATACTGGCTACTCACCACCTGTCATTGAGGGTGCTACTGCTCAAGTAAGAGGCTGGTCCTATGGGAACCTGTCCAAGAGAGATGCTACGCGATTTTTCCGTGCAGTAAGCTCTTTTGTATCGTTACAGTTGTAGTCTGGTCTGGTGAATTTTGTTGTATTATCCTGGTATTTTGCATATTATTGGTTAATAGCACTGCTTGGGAAATGTCCTGGCGGCTTAAGATCCGTTGATGGCCTTTCTGATTTGATGTGCCTTATGACTATCTTCTTAGATGAATTGTTTTTTGCTATTTACTTCCCTGTTACTATCCTTTTCCGATTCCTCCAGAATGATGGTTTTATACCTGTAATTTATTGAATTTGTTCTTCAACTAGGTTAAAAAGTTTGGGAATGACAGCCAGATCAGCCTAATAGTGGGAGAGGTTGGCGGAGCAGTTGAAGCTGCTCCGACTGAGGCACAGGTTGAACTTTATGATGCTCTGGTCGATGGTTGTAGAGAAGCAATGAAAGCAGAAAGCTTTGATCCAAAAGTTGGTTCCTTTATCATCGTTACCAATTATTAAGTTTTGATTCCTGCCTATATGATGCGTGATTTGTGTTCTGAGAGTTGCAAACCTGTCATAAGCTAATATATGAATTCTTTAATCTTTGTAGGGTCCTTTGTTGGATTTCTTTGGAGTCCCTGTAAAAGCAGATGAGCTACTAAGTCGCGTTGAGGAGCTTCAACTGTTAGCAAAGCGCATTAGCCGGTATGAAGATCCAATCTCTCAATTCCGAGCACTGGCTTATCTCAAACCAGCCACGTGGTCCAAAGGTTGTGGCTGGAACCAGAGTAAGTGCTCTATTAGGTTTTTAGTCTTTCGGAGTTTCTCTATCCTTATCTTTAGTTGTTGGTGGAAATTTAGTGATGGATGCATATATGCATCTTCATCTTATCAGAGGATGATGCAAGGCTGCTTTTGGGAATCCATTACCATGGTTTTGGCAATTGGGAGAAAATAAGATTAGATGAGAAACTTGGTCTTTCAAAAAAGATTGCACCGGTGGAACTTCAGCACCATGAGACATTCTTGCCACGTGCTCCTCAGTTGAAGGAACGAGGTTCACAATTGTTGGAAATGGTAGGCTATATCATTTGTAACTCAGCAATGCTAGTATCAAGCTTTGTCATCCTTTCAGCATTTTGTTGTTTTGGTGTTGATTCGATACTGGATAATCTAATTGATTGATTCATTTTTTCTACTGCTGGTGGAAAAGGGAAAGCAGATATTAGATATGTTGGAAGAAGTTCATTTTTTTCCTGCCTGTCAATATTTCCCATTCTATTATAGGTCGTTCAAAATTTTTATTCTTACTAAAAAGTAAAGATTGATTGACCAATTTGTTCCTTCATTGACATTATTTTTGTTGGGAAGATGATGTGGATAATGCTTGATAAATTTGATAAAAACACTGGTGTTTTTAATGTCAAAGAATGCATTGATTGAATAGTTTGTTCCTTCATTGTTGTTATTCTTCTTGGAAGACAACGTACATATTGGTTGATAAATTTGAGAAAAGTACTGATGTATTCAACATCAAACGATTTAAGTACTCGTATATGTAGTGATAAAAAATTTGTTTTTCGTTGATGTATGGTTAAATAAGGGATCACTCGTCATTTATCAAAAGAAACAATTGTAATGTTTTTACCTCACACTGAACAGAGATATTTTTGGACCATTCTTTGATTGAAAAGCAGTGAGGAAAAGCATTATCTTTGAGTAGTAACCTGTTGATTTATTTAATTGGGGCTTTTCTACTCATGCCTTCCATGACATCTGAGATTGCTGGTTCTAGACATGCACGTGTGAAAAAGACAGTGGGACTCTGCTATATTTGATCTTTCGTTGTGGTTTGTCAAATCTTTCATAGTTCTTGTATGTCTGGTATTTTGATCATTACCTTCCTGAGCTACTATTGCAAGCTTTTGTGGCATGCTTATTGTTGGAGGGAAGGTTGCACGGAGTATGAAGCCGCAGCAAGCTAAAGGGGGGCTGATAGGTTTGTTTAGACACTCTTTAGCAATATGGGTAAGCAATTAAAAGCTGAAAATTGTGGAGAACTGTAGTGAATTGGAAGCAAGAAGGAGAAATAAGGAAATCTCTAGAAATCACTCCTAAAAACCTTTAGGCTCCACATCTAGAGCTTGTTTGCACCATGCACCTAAGGAAGCATAAAAGGTGTGCAGAAACTTTTGTTAACTGAAATTTGTAGTTCAGGAAAAGATGGCATGTCTCTATTAACTGAAAATTAGAAATAACAAAACAGAATGCTAAAATAATGAATCTGAAAATGTTTTCCTTTCTTCTTTTTTGAAATTTTCATTGTCTACAGGAAAGGACCTGTAACTTAATGTGGCCGATCAACTTTGCTTTCTAATTAGCTAGTTTGTCAGGTTCTCCTAGTTGTCCTTTATAACATCTAAGGGCTTTTTCCCCCTTGGCTCAGTCTAAGCACCCAAAATGTTGTATGACCCTGTCCAAAATCTGGCTGCAAAGTGCCCTGTAGTATTTTTGCTCTGAAACTGCACATTCAAGTTGGCCATTGAACTGAGCCCTTCACTATCTGGCTAAAGTCTTTTATTTGTCAACTGTGTGTTTGGTTTCCAAGAATCTAACTGTCAAATTCCTTAAGGCTCATCTCTTACTTTATACTGCTGGTTTCCAAGAATCAAACTGTCAAATTGCTGAGGCCTCATCTCTTACTTTATACTGCTATGAAGTTTTGTCGCTGATCTCATGCCTTCTATTGTGTTATTGGCAGTTACTGAGAAGTGTATTTTGACCAGTTGCTTCTTAGGTTGCATTTGGAGCAACTTAAGTATCTGTCAACTTGTGTAATTAAGTCTATACTCGTTAACAGGAACTTGTGGCTGTTGGCGGCAAGGATTCTAACATCAAAATGGGCCGTAAGGTTTCTAAGAAACAAAAAGGAGCTCTGTTAAATGTTTCAGTAGCTCGTGGAAAAGGCAGACAGGGGAAATCCGATTCTCCTGGTCAGAACTTTCAGACAAATAGGGCCAAAGCTACAAAACCTCAAAAAGTTGAGCCTTTAGTTAAAGAGGAAGGTGAGATGTCTGATAATGAAGAAGTATATGAACAGTTCAAGGAAGTGAAATGGAGGGAATGGTGTGAAGATGTCATGGTTGATGAGGAAAAAACTCTCAAACGTCTACAGAGGTTGCAGAGTACCAGTGCCGATCTCCCCAAAGAAACGGTTGGTTTAGCACTTAATTACTGTCTTTCATCTCATGTTTCTCTTCTTGATGTAGCATTGGAAGGTTGTCTTAATATCTGGTGATATCAGGTGCTTTCCAAAATTCGGAATTACTTACAGCTTCTTGGACGGAGAATTGACCAAGTTGTCCTGGAATATGAGGAGGGACCATATAAAAAAGAGAGTATGTTTGTTTTTAAACTCCTTCCTATCCTCTTCTTTCCAGCTTGTCCCCAAGGGGATGAACATCGTTATTTTCTGCATTTCCAGCAGTTCTGGTACTAATTGTTTTATGTTCACAGGGATGAGGACACGCTTATGGAATTATGTCTCCAGCTTCTCAAATTTGTCAGGCGAGAGGCTTCATCAGATATATTCGAAACTTAAACAGGAGCAACCGCTAACTGGAGTTGGGCCTTCACATTTGAATGGTTCTGTACCTGGGGATCAGATCTCCGCTCTAATGGACAGAGGTATTGATACAGAAAAATTTGAAGCTTGGAAACGACGGAGAAGAGCTGAAGCTGATGCATCCCAAGCTCAGCCTGTTCAGTCTCCTTATCAAAGACTCTCGAGTAATGGTACGCGTATACCTGATCCAAACGCTTCTGGGATTCTTGGTGCAGCTCCGTCAGACAACAGACACTTCAGTAATGGGAGGCCTTTCAGAACGCATCAGGCTGGCTTCCCCCCAAGACATGGTTTCTCGTCGGGTATCAAGTAGGATTTCATGCATGATTGAGGATCAATGCAAAGTGGGCAGTTTTCTCCTAGCTGTTTGGCTTTTGGATATTTGCCGGAAACTGTCTGTCCGGGGGACCACAAATTTTGCAGATAGTTTTTTCCCGTGTTTTGAAAATTTTGGACTGCTTTTTCAGAGGAAAATTGTCCTCCTAATCAGTGGCAAGGCAGAGATAATTTGAGGATCCCTCAAGATGTGTAGGACAGGACTTGGCCAATCAAATACATGGAATCTTTCTAGTTATCTTTTCTTTTTGCTAATTTTCTTTTCTTATGAGTCCAGTGGCTCTAATTTCATTAGTACATAGTGCAATAGGCGAAAAAAGATTCCCCATGGTGATTTGCTATAAAACCAATGGGAATGACATTTTGTATGTAAACTGTACATTATGCAATTTTGATTATTCAATATGAATTTCTATTTTACCAGAGCAGTGTTTAGTATTCTGTCATTCTACCATTGTTATTGTCTAATGCATCTTTGTGTCAAGGCTGCGAGCTACCACCTAAATGTTGAGCATTGTATACTTACTTGTAACCACGCCTGGTAACCCACACTTTTTTTTCATTTTTTCTCAATCACTCAACAGTTCATTCATTGGTGTGTCATTTTTTTCTCAATCAGTCGACAGTGTACTGCCTGGGATTCGGATTTTCTTTACCCTCCGCTTTTTACTGTTATTTAAATTTTGAATGTCTAAATATTTGCTGCAACCAGGGCAGCGTAGCCCATCTCACCTTGGGTCTCTGCCTTTTTTATTGTCATGTTATCTGAAATGGTGCCTGGCAATATGCTACTCTGTTCTTATGCAAGTTTATGCCGGTGAGACCATGACTCCCAAGGTTTGGACAGGAAACTCCAAACTCGTACAAGGGTGGATGTCAAAAACAGATATGGAGTAGTGTTTCTTATTCTGCTTATGCATATTTACAACCCTGAAATGTGAATTAATGCTTCATGCTGCTGTCACTATAGCTTCTCATTCATCAAATTCAGTATTGCGTCCCTTCCATTCCCTTTCTCGTTGTCTCACCACTCCATCTATTGGGCAAAATAGCAAGACTAGAAGCAATGCGGCTGATAGTGGGCTTGTGGATTTCTTTGATCACCTTCTTCAGCAATGCATCAATGGAGACCATCTCAGACAACTCAAGCAAACCCACTCTCAGATCATTCACACTTCAACGTTTTTGTCGCCTTTCTTGGCTGCCAGACTTGTATCTGTGTACTCAAAATTTGGGCTTCTTAAGGATGCACGCAAGGTGTTTGACACAATTTCTTCGCTTGATGAAAGTTTCATTACGAGAAATATGCTTTTGTGGAACTCCATATTAAGGGCTAATGTAGTGCAGGGGGAGTATAACGAGGCGCTTAGGCTGTACTGTGAGATGAGAAAAGTTGGGGTTTTGCCTGATGGGTTTGGTTTTCCTTTAATTGTAAAGGCTAGCGGTAGGGCCATGGTGGGCGAAAGTAACTATAAACTGTGTACGAGTGTTCATTGCCACGTGGTCCAATTGGGGTTCCGAGATCACATGCATGTTGTCAATGAGTTGTTGGGAATGTATGGAAAGATTGGGCGAATGGATATTGCGTGTAAATTGTTTGATAGAATGCCTGTGAGAACTCAAATTTCATGGAATGTTATGGTGTCTGGTTTTGCAAATAATTCTGACTGTGAAAATGCTTCTAAGATGTTTGATAGGATGGAATTAGAAGGGTGGGAGCCGAATTCTGTGACTTGGACTTCTTTGTTATCAAGTTTTGGTAAATGTGGGAGTGGTGAGGAGACATTAAGATTGTACAGAATGATGAGGGAGAAAGGTGTTGAGGTTACGGCTGAAGCGGTTGCAGTGGTTCTGTCAGTTTGTGCTGATATGAATGCATTTTGCACGGCTGCGAACTTACATGGATATGTTATAAAGGGTGGGTTCTCCAACTATTCATTTGTTGTAAACTCGTTGATATGTGTGTGTGGAAAAAACTGTGCTGCGAAAGAGGCAGAGAGTTTATTTTCAGGGTTGGAATCAAAGAATATAGTCAGCTGGAATGCTTTGATATCATGCTATGCTGAATCAGGGTTATGTGACGAGGCTTTTGCTCTGTTCTCACAGATGGGAAAGTTACATGATGGTTATGCAGAGTTAAAACCAAATGTAATAACTTGGAGTGCTGTTATTAGTGGATTTGCCGCAAAGGGACGGTTTGAGGAGTCTTTGGAAATCTTTCGGCAAATGCAGATTGCTGAAGTAGCAGGCAACCCTGTCACAATTGCTAGTACTTTGACTGCTTGTGCGGGGTTATCGGCACATTGTCTAGGGAAAGAAATCCATGCCCATGTCACCAGAACTCTGCTAGACAAAAAAGTCTTGGTAGGAAATGGATTGATCAATATGTATATGAAATGCGCTTGCCCCGAGGAAGCTAATTTAGTATTTGAAGGATTAGGTACTAGGGATCTATTCTCATGGAATACAATGATTGCTGGGTATGGGATGCTTGGACTTGGTGACACTGCTTTAAAGTTCTTTTATAACATGATCAACATAGGATTTAAACCTGATAAGGTTACATTTGTTGCTGTTCTTTCTGCATGTAGTCATGCAGGTCTTGTTGCAGAGGGTCGCAAGCTTTTCGACCAGATGGTTAGGGATTTTCGAATTGAATCTCAGATGGAACACTATGCTTGCGTGGTTGATCTGCTTGGCCGTGCTGGCTTAGTACTGGAAGCAATTGACTTTGTGAAAAACATGCCAATTGAACCGAATGCATGTGTTTGGGGAGCTCTATTGAACTCTTGTAAAATGTATAAAAATACAGATGCTGCAGAAGAGACTGCTGCTCAAATTTTTGGTCTTGAACCTGAGATGACTGGGAGTTACATGTTGATATCTAATTTATATGCTGCACAGGGAAGATGGGAGGACTCTGCTAAAGTAAGACACTCAGCAAAGACAGTGGGGCTGAAGAAAAGCCCTGGACGGAGTTGGATTGAGGTGAAGAAGAAAGTGCATGCATTCTTAGCTGGAGAAGCTTTAGACTCGGGGATGGAGGAAATATATAGGGTACTGGATTATTTAAGTCTTCAAATGGAGATGGAGAGTTATGCATTATGCCAGAAGTCCACGTCTCAGTTAGCACTCGAAGAAGAATGTGTGGCAAATATTTGAAGGGCGTAATCCACAGCCATTCCCTGTTCTCCACAATTTCATGTCTTCCTAATTAACTCCCCAAGTTTTTCTTGATACTCAAAAACTGCCCATGCAATATGGATTTGGTTAGAAGTATCCATATCACAATAAATGGTTCTCGTGTTCAGCTATAATTCCATTATCACAATAAATGATAGCCAAAATCGAGTGGGTTGATCACTCTTAGTTATTATCATAAAAAAATGAGATAAAAGGTATAGGATTCATCTTTATACACTTTCAGTGTAAGAGTATTTTTATACTAGCAAATTTAGATGAACACCGCACAATCTTTGTTTAAATTTAAAATACACTTTTTGTACATGATAGCATATATTCAAGTTTGCTAGTATAAAATAATTTTTACGCTAACAGTGCATAAAAATAGTTATCTATAAAGATATATGAATTGACTTTTTGTTGAAAAAATTCCATCATGCCTTCTACTACTCTATACAACTGTAGCAGAGTACAAAATCAATTATGGCTCTCATCGAATTGGATTTACTAAATTGTTCCATACTCAGGAGATATTGACCCTAAAAGAATTTTAATTCGGTATGAACACCCTACAAAATTTTTGCCAACTTAATTTTGTATTTTTTCTATTTGCTTCTATCAGTATTTAGAACTTTTTATCGCATGATTGAGTTGAAGAAAGAAATGAATATGTACCAACCAAATAAAGTTCCTTAGCGGTTCCTCAGTTTAATCTCAAATTATTAGTTAGTTTAAACTTAAAACAATATTACACTAATAAATTAATTTAAACTTGCATTCGTATTGTTTTAGAATCTAATAAGCCAATAGTCAAGATATACTTCTTGTTATCCTATTGATCAATTCTTTCTGATTCTTTGGATGTTAAATACACATTGCCCATAGTTTTCTGATTACTTAGTTCCTCTCTCCCATTGTTTACCATGTAAATCTTAGTACATCTTCTCTTTTTACACTTCAAAGTTATTCTAAGAGCAATAATACAAACAAATAAGTAGATACGAATAAGATTGATGGTATTTGGTACATAGATATTTATTTATTTTTGTGGCTTTATAAATAAGACTTTAATTGATGGAAGCGATTCACAATGAGAAAAATTCGACAGTTAAAGAATAATTAAAGGAGATTATTCTTGATTATAAGTAATAGGGGTTGGGGTGGGGAGGGGGAGGAAAAGAATGAGTTGGGTGGTTTGGGGGAGAGGCCGAGAGGGAATGTAAGTGAGAGGTTTCAGGTTTGAGCCTTCTCTTTTATAGTAAAAAAAAAAAATGGTGTAGTCGCAAAAATACAGGGGTTCTAAGCTTGTCAATGTTCCACTAAGGTATATAAGGTGCTATAAAAAGAAAAGGAGAAAAGACAAACAATATATAGTTATATATCATTCATTTGGTTCTTATTACCATTTTTTTGGTTTCCAATCTGTTATAGATGGTGTCTATAGCTAAAGATGTATACTTCTTGTACATTTATAATTGTATATTATTTATTAATATATATTGCACATTTTATTGTCATTCTAATATATACTATCTTCTAAATACAACAAGATGTGACATGAATTCAATATTTTTTTTGGATAGTGAATTATTTATAAAAAATTATTTATTTACATCATCAACACTTTTTCCAACCATATTTTTATCTAACATGCATCATATAAGAAAAGTGTTACAATATTTTCTTTTCAAAAAATTATCCCCCATAATCTACTATCCAAACACACTAAATGTTTTCTATTAGACGTTGAATAGCCCTACTTACCTTCTCATTACATGATTAGTAAAGAAAAATTTCAAAACTATGTACAGAAGTGAGTAAACACTACGTATAGATTTGACTCAGGGTATCTTGAACTGATAAGGTAACCCTTGTCACCAAGGTTTATGTAGCTCAAGATTTGTATTATCTAAAATAAAAAACCATTTTCTCATCACAAACATGCAAGAGACTGTGGATAAATTTTCTTTTTGGACTGAATCAGACAACTTGTGGATAAATTTCTTTCTGGAACTAGTGCCTTTTTCCTTTTCCTTGGCTTGGACAAGGGAACAAATGACCGTTCATTTGCTTCTGCTTAATGTGTTTTATGGTTGTATTGCTCTACTACTAAAAAAACTTTATCCAATTGCTCATACTTCTTTTCTTCCTTGCTTGAATGCCCACTTAATATTTTTTGTTCAACATATTTTTTTGAACTTTTTTCTTAGATTTATAAATGAGACTGGTGGATTGCTTGA